TGAAAGATACTACATTTTGTCAGAGGCTCTTTCTGCATCTTTTGAGATGATCGTTTGTTCTTCCTTATCCTGTTAATTTGCGTTGTTTTGTTTTAGAGACAGGGTCTTACTATGTCCTTTAGGCTGCCCTTGAACTATGTAGACTAGGCTGTCTGCCCTTTAACTCACCAAAATACTCCTGCCTCAGCCTCTCAAGTGCTGGGATTGCAGGCATGCACCACCATACCTGGCTGTTAATTTGTATATTTCATTGATTGATTCTTTTTTTCTTTAGACAATGTCTTACTGTACATTCTAGGCTGGCCTGGAACTCACTGTATAGTCTAGGCTGGCCTCTACTTCACAACAATCCTCCTGCCTCAGCCTCTTGAGTCCTGGGATTACAGGTGTGTACCACCATACATGGCATTTGTTGTAAATTTGGGGTTTTTTATTTGTAATGAATCGGTTTTGGTTATTTGTGTTTTTCTAGGAATTTATGCATTTTAACTAAGTTATGTAATTTTTTTTCCAGTGTTTCACTGTATTGCCCAGGCTGACGGGGCTCAAGCCTTCCCCCATGTCAGCCTGATGAGTACTGAGAAGAGAGGCCCACTCTACTGGCCCCTCTCGGTTACCTAATTTGTAGGTGTATAGTTGTTTATTGCATTTCCTTATAACCCTGCTCTGTAATGATAGTGCCAGTAGCTTCCCCTCTATTGTGTTTGATGACACAAGCAAGGCTGTGACACGAACAGAAGCATTTCCCCAGAGTAGAGTGAGTGCAGCAGGTCAGCAGAGGGACCACACTTGGGCCGGGAGGCGCTGGGAGAGTTGAGGAGGTGCCAACACACCTTGCTTGTAAAAGGCAATCATACCTTGTCCTTGTGTTTTGGGGGAAGTTTGAGTCCTAGTATCTTGAAATACTGGTTGTCAGACACATACCTGGAGCCCAAAGCGTGAGAAATGTTCTCATTGTTGTCCTGTCCAAAATGAACAATTGTAATATTTTCCACAGCCTAGTACTTATTTTAGTCAATTGAGTCTTCTCTATTTTGTTTAGGTTATTCTAGCCAAAAGGTGGCCAATTTTGTTAAACATTTCCCAAAAAAATCAAGTTTTACATTTGAAGTTTTCTCTACTTTTTAATTTTCCACTATTTATTTTTTCTTTTTGTCTTTTGGAGACAGGGTCTTACTATACAGTTCAAGCTAGCTTTGAGCTCACTTAGTAAGTCATGCTGGACTTGAACTCATAACGATCCTCCTGCCTCAGCCTCCCCAGTGCTGGGATTACAGGTGCTCGCCACCACACCCAGCTTCCATTTAATTTATTTAAACACTGTTCTTCATTTCTTTGATCTGTTTGACTTGGATTTACTGTAGTTTGTTCATCTTTTTCTAATTTCTTATGGTGGGAGATTAGGTTATTAATTTCATATGTTCCTTTTTTAATATAGGTGTTTGTTAATTTGTTTTGAGGCAGGGTCTCACTATATGATTGAAGCTAGCTAGCCTTGAACTTACTATATAGCCAACACTGGCCTTGAACTCACAGCAGTGCTCCTACTTCATCCTCCCAAGTGCTAGGATTACATGTATGTCCCACCATTCCTCACTCTAATTTACTTTTGTAATTTCCTTTTTGTGCATTTATGAATATTGCAGATTTCCTATTATTGATTTCTAATTTCATTCCATTGTGGTTGAAGAACAACCTTTCTGATTGAAATCCTTTTGTTGGCTTTGTCTTATGCCCAAAGGCATGGTTTATCCTAGAAGATGTGCCATATGCTCTTTTTTTTTTTAACATTTATTTATTTTTATTTATTTATTTATTGTGTGTGTGTGTGTGTGTGTGTGTGTGTGTGTATGTGGCCAGCTCAGCCCACCAGGGGGCGGAGCTGGCTGGCATGTGGTGCTGGGGGATTGAACCGCGGTCCCTGTGCTCTGCCAAGCTTGTTCCAAATAGGTGCTTTAGACCACTGAGCCATCTCACCAGCCCGTGCCATATGCTCTTAAGAAGAGTATGTCTTGCTATTGTTGCAAGGTGTCCTACGGCTGTTTGCTAGGTCTAGTGGGTGCATAATGATAAAAGTCTTCTGTTTTCTTTTTGAACTTGTGTACTTGTTCTGTTAGTTAGACTATTGACATATCCAGCCATCATTATTGAAGTGTCAGTTTCTCCTTCAATTCCATCAGCTTTTGCTCCGTATGTGTCTTAGTAATTTTTTCATTGCTTGACAGAATGTCTGATTAAAAGAGAAAAGGTTTATTTAGCACACAGTTTGTAGGTTTCAGTCCATAGTCAGCTGGCTCCAAGGCAGGGTGGCATGGCAGAGGGATATGGCTGAAAAGAAATAGTTCATGGTGTGGAGAAAGAAGGCAGGAAGCAACAAGCAGTATCAGCAGTAGGCCTGCCTTCTCTCTGTCCCTTTATATTCCATCCTGGCTACAAGCCCATCGATTGGTGCCACGCACACCCAGGCCAGGGCTTCCATTATTCACCTCCTTAATCCCAATATCACATTCTTAATCCATGTTATGGTTTGTGTCTAGATGTCCCCCCAGATCCTCATGCAGTCCTGGGGTAAGCTACTAGAGCTTGTGATTGATTAATAATCCAATACTAGGATTTTGCTTGTGAGTGCTACACCTACTCTGGGGTGGCTTGCCTGCATACACTGTAAGGGAGGGAAAGAGACTTTCTCTCTATCCTTTTCCCCCCTTTTTCCCATTCTCTTCCCTTTTTGCTCTTATTGCTTTTGCTGTCTTCTGCCACCATGAACTGTTACCTTTCTACCTTGGCACCCTGCCTTGGAGCCTACTGATTGACTGAAATCTCCACAAACAGTAAGCTAAATAAACCTTTTCCTCTTTAATTTGGGTGTCAGGTATTTTGTCTCAGCAATGCATGAAAAGTAACCAAGACAATCCACATTCACACACTCTGTTCCAGCCAGTTTTGAAACTTCCCAATTATGATCATGTGAAACTTTGTCTAGATATAAGCCATAACATTCTGACCTGGCCCACAAAAGACTCATGCACCTCTCTTTATGCAAAAGGCATTTAGTCCATCTCTAAGAGTTGCCAAAATCCTATTTTAACATTGATGAAAAGCCCAAGTCCAAAGTTTCCTCTTAAGATTTAAGGTGGACTCTTAACTGCAAGCTGCTGTATAAATGAAGGTTAAAACACTTCCAACATACAATGTAGAAGATGAACATTCCCCTTCCAAAAGGTACAAATAGGAGTATGGAAGGAATGAGACCAAAGTAAGTCCAAAATCCATCAGGGCAACATTAAACCCCATAGTTCCATGCCCAGCATCTGAGGTAGTCTGTGGCAAGATGTGAACTCATCTTGGGTGGCTCTTTTTCCTCAGCACTGCTGGTGGTTGTAGTTCCCACAGCTTCTTTCTTGGGCTAGCTTTTCTCACTCTTTGAAGTATTCCTCAGACTATCCACATTCCTGGCTTCTCCAAACTTCTAGGGTCTCCACTGCACTTCAGTTTCACTCTCAGATTTATACACTGCCCTCTCAGGGGCACATTGCCTAGCCTCCCAGGCCTTCTGAAATCTGGGTGGAAGCCTTTCTGACCCCACAACTCATGCATTCTTCCTGCACCTAACACTGGCACCATGTGGATGACAATATCTGCAGCCAGCTGGAATTTGACCAGGCTTTTCTCTCTTGGCTGTAGGGATAGAGTTCCTGTGCTGATGAGCTTTATGAACCCTAACCCAAGGAACAAATGCTCTAGGCCACCACCATTCTAGAACATGGTGCTATGGGGCTCTCTTCTCAAATCAAACAGTTTTATCTTTGCTTTTTTGAGGCTGCAAAGGCTGAAATTCTACTGCTTCTTGTGAAGTCCTCTAGCCATCTTTTTTTTTTTAAACTATGTTTATTTAATTTTTTTATTCAGCAAACAACATTGAACAGTACTTTGTTTATGGCCTTTGTGTTAGGCATTGAAATCATAAAGCCAGTCTTTTTTTTTAATTTTATTTATTTGTGTGTGTGTGTGTGTGTGTGTGTGTGTGGCCAGCTCAGCCCACCTGGGGGGCAGGGCTGGCTGGCATATGGTGCTGGGGGATTGAACCGTGGTCCCTTTGCTTTGCTAAGCTTGTTCCAAGTAGGTGCTTTAGACCACTGAGCCATCTCACCAGCCCCTAGCCATCTTTTCTATTGCCCTATTTCTTTTCAGCTACCAAGTTCTCCTCTGTTCTATCTGTGCAGGCCATAACTTTACTGGAGGTTTTTTTTGTGTGTGTGTGTGTGTTTTTTTTTTTTTTTACCCAAACTCAAAACTTTTAAAATCATTTTTCTGGGACCTTTATTTTTGATTCTCAACATAGTTCTGGCTGAAAGCCCCCAACAATAGCCATGCCACAGCCTCAACATTAGACTGCTTTGAAATTTCTTCCACCAGATAAATTAGTCTTCCACCTTTAATCTCATTCTTGGGCAAAGTCTCTCAATGTGAGCAAAATGCAGATAAATTTTGTACCAAAGCAGAGCATACACAGTCTGAATTTCGATAGCCTTGTCTTTGTTCCTAACTGAAACTTCCTGAGCCTACACTTTGCAGACTGATTTTCTATCAGAATCCTGGTATTCTGAGTCCTGACCAGAATTTCCCATAAAATTCCATTTACAGCATTCCAGAGATGCTGCTTCTGCCAACAGTTCCACAGTCTTCCAAACTCTTCCCACAACCCAGTTCCAAAGATTCCAGAAGCTCATGGTCAGGTAGTATCACATAAAAGACCCCACTTCTGGTATCAAAATCTGTTTTAGTTACTTTTTTGTTGTTGGGACAAAATACCTGATACCCACCCAGTAAGGTAGGAAAGGTTTATTTAACCCACAGTTTGTAGAGGCTCCAGCCCATAGCTGTCTCTAAAGCAGGGTGGCAGGGCAGAGGAGCATGACGGGAAGATGAAAGAAAATAGCAGGCAACCTCCAGGGCTATTTTCTTTAATTTTTTCTCATTATTTTATTATTTTAATGCAGATTCCTGTATCAAGACTGAGGGACACAGTCCTGGAACTTGCAGTATTTGATCAGCACAGAAGAAAGTTTGATAATTTCAGCTCACTAATATTAGAATGGAAATCTTCTAATGAAACACTGGCCCATTTTGAAGATTATAAATCAATGGAGATGGTAGCCAAAGGTGATGGCAGTGGGCAGGCCCAGGCACATGGTAATATGAAAGTTCCAAATTCTTTCTTTCTATTTATTTTTTTTTTCTTTTTTGGCTGGGTGTGGTGGCACACAACTGTAATCCCAGCACTCGGGAGGTGGAGGCAGGAGGATTAGTTCAAGTTTGAGGTCAACCTGGGCTACAAAGTGAGTTCAAGGCCAGCCTGAACTGCATAGCAAAACCCTGTCTCAAAAAGACAAAAAGAAGTTTGAAAACTAATTTTATTTTTGAGATAGAATCTCAGGGCCTCCTGAGTACTGGAATTACAGGCATCCACCACCATGCCCAGCTACAAATCCTTTCTTATACTATGCTTTTTAAGTGATTCACACTAAGGATTTCCTGATAGATGAGTGTTTTACTTTAGTTGCTTTGTTTTGTGTCTTTTTGAGACAGGGTCTTGCTATGCAGTTCAGGCTGGCCTGGAGCTCACTTTATAGCCCAGGCTGGTTTCCAGCTCACAGCAATCCTCCTGCCTCAACCTTCGAGTGCTGGAATTACAGACATGCACCACTATGCCCAGCTTAGATTTTATTCACTTTTCATATTTTTTAATTAATTTATTCATTTGTGTGTGTGTGTGTGTGTGTGTGTGTGTGGCCAGCTCAGCCCACCAGGGGGCGGGGCTGGCTGGCATGTGGTGCTGGGGGATCGAACCATG